TAACGCGCCTTGAACTTCGACGGCTCTCTAGGTGTGCGCTTCACCCTGTAAGCTTCGATGACATGTGGGGGTCGACCCCCAGGCGGGGGAACTGTGTCAACGTAAGTGCTTGTGGAACTGTAAGATGCCATTTCAACCTCCATGGCCTGTATCCACTAGGCTGCCCAGGGCCCTGACACCGCCTCAGCGTAAGAGCGCGGAACAGGGATGTCGAGAGCATCTTGGTCACCCTCTGGGGATACAAGCATGGAGCAGGGATGGGGTACAGCGGCAGCAAGGTAGGCCAACTCGTACTACCAGTCCTCTAGCATGTCACTGCTAAGGGAAGGTGCACCCCTGACGGACGGAGGACGGGCAGTACCAGAGACAAGAGCAGCAGTGTAGTCAAGGCGGTGGCTAGCAGCGAAGTAAGTGACAGCAGTGACAAGCGCAGAGACATTCTGAGGAGGAGCAGTAGGGTCGGTGACAAGCGACGCAAGCAAGCGCGAGAGGGTAGAATGAGCAGTGCGAGCAGAGTCGGAGTGAGGAGGGGGGGACGACGGGAGCGATGATGGGGGAGGCAACGGGAGGACTGCAACTATATGAGCACGTGAAGGAAGAACCATAGGGTGGACACTAGGGCGAGGAGAGACAGGATGAGCACCAGTGGGGCAACGGACCTAGTGGGGAAGAAGTGGGGATTGAGGACGAGGGGGAACGGGGGACAAGTCAGGGGACGAAGGGGAGCGCTGGGGAAAGCGAGTGAGAGAGGAGTCCGGAGGAGGGAACAACGGGCCGTAAACAGGGTCACGCACCGGAAGGGGAACAAGTGGGCGGACAGGGGAACCTGGAGCAAGACCAAGGAGACGAAGGGTGGACTGCGGCTGCTTCTGCTGCGGCGGCTGCGCGTGCTACTGCGGCTGCTGCTGCTGTGGCTGCAACTACTCCTTGTCCTCTCCAGGACCTCCAGCGGCACCCTGCTGCCATTGGCACTCCCCGAAACCGCACCCCCAAGACTAGCACCCTTGGACGCACCACCCACACAACTAGAACCCCGGAGTTGGCACCCCCAGAACTCGCACCCCCATAACCAGCACCCCTAGAGTCAGCACACCCAGAAATCGCACCTTTTGAACAAACACCCCCAACACCAACACCTCCAACAGCAACACCCCGAGAACCAGCACCCCCAGAGCCCATTGCTCCTGCTGCTGCTGCTGTTGCTGCGGCTGCTGAGTCTGTTGTGGTGGCTGCTGCTGCTGCTGAGGCAAGGGGGGGGGGGGGGGGGGGGGGGGGGGGGGCTGAGGTGACTGGGGTACCAATGCTGGGGGAGGCGCCACAGGGACAAAAGGCACACCCCCAGCAGCTGGGGCCCCAGATTCAGCCGACTCCCTCACAGGCGCAACCGATGGGAACTGAGTGGTGTCGGAGATACCAGTCTAGGCCAGGCAGAGCAGGAGGGGTGCGGCAGGCACGACAGGGACAAGGAAGAGAGGAGGAGGAGGCACAGGAGCGCCGTGGTGCAAGAAGCGCCGGTAGTAGGGGAGTGTTTCATCGAAGGTAACGTCACGAGAGTGGTAAAAGCGGTGGTGTGACGGGTGGTAGAACAGCCAGTCAGAGGCGTTAATCGAAGATCCTAGGAAGACACAAGGAAGGGTGCGGGCTGAGAGCTTGTCTGCGCGAGTGTCGTGGACGTGAGCAAGGCTGCCCCAGACGTAGAATGTAGACGAGTCGCCAGGAGACCCGGTCCAGAGGAGGATCGGCTAAACATGTGGCCGCTGGGAGCGCGGCCATAGGTTAAGCTGGTGAGCAGCGTAGCGCACGGCGAACGGCCACAAAAAATGGGGTGCACCAGCGTGGACCATGGAGGTGTGAGCTACCTCCATGATCAGGCCGATGCGTCGCTCAGCGACCCCATTCTGCTGTGGGAGTCCAGCAATGTGTAGGTCTGGCAGATGCCCTTCACACGACAGAACTGTACTAGAGTGCCAGAGGCAAACTCGTCACTCACGGTCAGAGTGTATGCAACCTACAGGCAAGCGGTAGTGGGTGCAAATAGTAAAAAGCCACGGGAGGAGAACGGTAGGCATGTCGGCCTTCCACTCCAACGAGAACACTGTGGTGAAGCGCGAGAAGTCGTCAACGATGAATAGAAAGTAACGCTCCCGACTAAGACCATGGACCGGGGTAGGGCCCAAGACGAGGAACGAGGAGGAGTGAGGGGTGGCGCGCTGCCGGCCCTCGACGCAGGACGTGCACAGTGCGCTACCGGACGTAGGGAGGGGCGGAAAGCGACGCAGGGAGACCAGTGACTAGACCGTGCTGGGACATGTGCCTAAGACGCAGGAGAGCAGGGTGACCTAAGTGGTGGTGCCATAGGAGGGTCGGGTGGGCTATGGAGCGACAGGAGCAAGGACACGGCAACCGCGGAAGACGTACAGTTGGTGGGGGATTCAGTGTACAGTGTAAAGAGACATGGCCCTGGGTCACGCTCAAATGTGGCTAAGTGTCGACCAGTGGCCGTGTCTGTGCAAGCGGCGTGTCTCTCGCGGCCAGGGAACGTAGTGGTGACGCCTCAGTCCTGAAGGTGACAGACACCCACTAGATTCCTGGCGAACAAGGGGATGTGCGGAATGGTGAGGGAGCCGGAGGTGACAGCTGGACAAGGGAGAGTGGTGGTGCTATGTGCGACAGCTGTGGCGGAGGAGTCTCCTAGTGCAATGCGGACAGGCGCGAGAAGCGGGGTGAGAGTAGTGCTGTCTTTAAAGAAGCAACAAGGCACACCCGAGTCAAGGATAAAGGAGAAGGCCACCACAGGAGGGGCAGGGGAGGAGCCTAGGGGACACGTAGTAGAGGCTCCTAGACTAGACACAGTGGTGGGACCTAGACCCCTAGGCCTCAAGACCCCCGGTCCTCCAGAGAACCACACTGGCCCCAGGGCAGTGACCGCCCCGGGGCAGCACCTGCAGAGCCTCCACCTCGCCCAGCACCCTCAAGACCTCACTTCGGCTGCTGCTGCTGGTACTGCTGCGGCACTGACCAGAGAGCCTGGAAGCAGACGTCAAGGTCGTAGAGCCAAAAGCCGAGGAGGTAACTAATGTGATCCTCCTAGGAGCGTGCAGTCTAGGTGCGGGCTCACCAGCTGTAGACAGTGAGCAAGAAATCGGAGAGTGGAGGGAAGTGCCCGGCGGTCTGGCCGAGGACTGAGCCGAACAAGGTCATCATGCCGAGAGGAGAGGCGTTGAGGAACTCTCAAAACGAGGAGGATACTAGTGGGAGGCACTAGTTGTTACAAAAGCACTAGCGGAGGTAGTAGCTGTGGCGGCTGTGGCTGGAGCAGTGGCAGCAAGCACGAGGCTAGTTGTAGCAGCGACTAGTGGTAGGTTGACGGTAGCAGGAGCGAGTGACAGTAAGACGGAAGTGGCGCTAGCTGGTGGCGGGCTGGTATCCGTGGACAGTGGCTTGTAAGCGGCTGGCGGGAGGCTAGGAGCTGCAAAGAGGAGTAGGGAGCAAACGAGGAGGAAGTACGCGCGAGAGGAGCTAATAGGAGCAGCACGCCAAGGAGCTAGCTAGGAGTCACTAGGACTGGTGGCACAAACCAAATGATAGTCCACAGGGCACAAGGGACTCATGAGGCTGGCCGCTGATTGGCGGCTGGCGGCTGGAGGCCGACTCGCGACTGGTGGCTGGAGGCCGACTGACGACTGGCGGCTGGCGGTCGACTGCCGCTGGCGGCTGGTGGTCGGCGGCTGGCCGCGAGTGGTGGCAGCTGGTGGCTGACGGCTGGGGGTCGGCCGCTGGTTTCCGGCGGTCTGTTGCTGGCGGCTGGCAACTGGTGCTGGCTGCTGGTGGCCAGGCTGGTGGAGGCTTAAGCTGACGGTTGGCAATGGTGGCAGTGGCGGCTGCAAGGGCAGCGGCGGCAGCAGCAGCTGCAAGGGCGGCGGCGGCAGTGGCAGCTGCACGGGCAACGGCGACAGTGGCGGCTGCAGCTGCCGGTTGCAGGGGCAGTGGCAGTGGCGGCAGCGGCAGGGGTTGCAGCAGCTGCGGCAGTGGCAGCGGCGGCAGCACAAGCTGCAGCAGTGGCAGCGGCAGCATCGGCAGTGGCGGCAGCAGCTGCAGCAGTGGCAGCGGCGGCAGTGGCGGCAGTGGTGGCTGCAAGGGCAGTGGCGGCAGCAGCAGCTGCAAGGACAGCGGCAGCAGTGACGGCCGCAAGGGCAGCGGCGGCAGTGGCGGTGGTAAGGGCAGCGGCGGCTGCACAGGCAGCTGCGGCAGTAGCAGCTGCAGCTGGTGGCTGCAGCGGCAGAGGCAGCAGCAGCAGTGATGGCAGCTGCAGTGGCAGCAGTGGCAGTGGTGGTAGCAGCTGCAGGAGTGGCAGCGGTGGCAGCGCAGCTGCAGCAGCTGAGGCGGCAGCGGCAGTGGCGGTAGTAACTACAGAAGCGGGAATAACGGTGGAAGCGTGAGTAACGGAGGGAAAAAAAATATAACCTAGCTCAATACCATGTAAGAGTAGTGGGAAAAAGTGTGACTAGGAAGAGGGGAGGGGAGATACAAGTACAAGAATTTTATTCCCTCTAAGAATTGACCTAGCTAGGCTAAAACAAACATATCTAAACTAACTACATATGTGTAGACAAAACAATATGCTTGTTGACAGAAAGGCCTAGAACTGTTGGGCGGGTCGGGACAGTTTTAATCTTACACCTAAGGGCGTCCAGACTTACCCCCATGGAGTAGAAGATATTATGTCTTGTCTTAGGCGTCTACCTTGTATTCGCCTCTTCCGTTAATAAGAAACATCTTTTAGGTCGGTATGAGATAAGACACCCTGTCCTTTTTTCCAGGCTGTTACATGTTTGCATGTGTTGATACGCATTGTTGTCCATCAGGCTAGTAAGAGGCATTCAAAGCACGCACAATAAACCCACTAAAAATCCTCAAAGGTTTCCATTGTCGACATATCACACTCAACCTCCTCAGCAAGCTCAACAGGGGCGGGCCTCCAGAAATCAGACACCCCCCAAGCATACTGTACAGTACTCCCTGGCTCATGCAGCTTGTCTTCCTCTGCTGCAGCACCATGGCACATCTCCTCCTCCTCCTCCTCCTCCTCCTCCTCCTCCTCCTCCTCCTCCTCCTCCTCCTCCTCCTCCTCCTCCTCCTCCTCCTCCTCCTCCTCCTCCTCCTCCTCCTCCTCCTCCTCCTCCTCCTCCTCCTCCTCCCCCCCCTCCTCCCCCCCCCTCCTCCTCCTCCTCCTCCTCCTCCTCCTCCTCCTCCTCCTCCTCCTCCTCCTCCTCCTCCTCCTCCTCCTCCTCCTCCTTCTCTCCCCCCCTCCTCCTCTCATATCCCGCACTCTTCACAGGAACTGAGTGCGAGCCCTTGTGCTCCAGGGTCCTTTCCGCGGGCGTCTCAACAAACAGCAACGTCTGATCTGCATTGATGACGCAGCACATGTCAAGATTGTGGCGCGCGCGGTTGCATCTGACGAATTTCCAGAAGCCCTCACAATCACCAGCACACTCTGTGAATAGGAGAAGAGAGGGAGGGGGAGTGAGGTGGGAGATGAGAGCTTGCTTTGCTTGCGATACAACAAATTCCGACAAATGAACATCAGCAAGCAAAGGGGAAGAATCCAGCAAGGGTAGGCAGGCTCACACTCACCAGGAGACATCTTTTTGGCCGACCTTCGTACGGCAGAGCATAGTGAATCCCCAGCACTTGCGGAACCACTGGCTCCAGTGGCTAGACGCCTGCCAAGGGCCCTTCAGCCGCCGCTTGCGCATGTAGTTGAGACTCCACTCGCGGATCTGCTTCACGCCAATGGCCAAGCCGAGCCCCCCTGCTCGCAGATCTACTTTAACGGCTTTTCCTCCATGACAGGGTGATGCGCATGTTGCCCCGTGCCATGGAGTCACTTGCGACACTTGGCTGCACCCTTGTACCACCCTAGCTTCTGCTGGTCTACCCACCGCTTAATAGGGCACGCACCCACGCCCGCATCGGCCGCCGTCCGCTTGAATGACTTGAGCTCGTAATTGTGGCAAGCCCACTTAGTCTTTTCGTGCAGGGTGAAGCTATGACAGATCTTCTTTGAAGGCCAGTTATGCTGCGACGGTGGCTGGGCATCTGGATTTTTTGCGTGGGGTCTTTCGGCTTCTTTCCCTCATGGAAGGTTGGGATCGGGCTAGCAGCCTCTTCGTACTGGTCGTCGGATTTATCTTCAGGGACCTCGTCAGATTTAGGCATGCCCGCCCGCTTTGCGGACTTTTGTAGACCGCAAGGTGCCGCATCCTTCCACTTTGTTGACCGTCATTTGTCGTCCGCCTTAGATTTTCCCTTCTCTGCCGCCGTGTAGCGCCGCTGCTTAGGAGAGGCTCCATCAGCATCCGCACCCCGCTTCTTCGTTGTGGTGGCAGCATTGTTGTCACTTTGTACCATTCAGCTCTTCTTCACCTTGGAGTCGACCATCCACTTCGCATACCGCTCTTCGCATACCACTTCGCAGCGGGAGCGGGGATATTCAGAGTGTGGCCAGGGGAGTTGTGGCGCCCAAAAATGTTGACACAAACATGGGGTGGTGAGGAACCAGTTGCCCATTGCCTAAACCCAGATGCCTGTCCTCAGGTGGATGCTTGTTGCGCATGGCGGCAGGCAATGACGCAAGCCGAGCTAAGGCAGGGCAGCAAGCCGAACGGCGGAAGGCAGGGGTACAAGCCGAGCTAAGGCAAGGAAGCAAGCTGATCTAAGGCAGGGGAGCAAGCCGAGCTAAGGCAGGGGAGCAGAGGAGTTACCAAACAGAATGAGAGCTGAATGCAAGAATGAGAGTTCCACCCCTCTCCATGAGCTCACAGCCCCCGGGCGCGTCTTTCATCGCGTCTTTCATCGAGCAGCATCCAGAAGCTGTGATGCTGCCATGAAGAGCATCATTTGCCACCCATCATGTGACGGCCATTGCCAGCTGGTGTGACAGTGAAGTAGATGCTTCCCCTTGGCGTCACGCTAGCATGGTATAATGATTGCATCGTTTGTGACAAATTCCCCCTTTGTTAAATGCTTCGATATCGAACAAGTGACGCACGATCCCAAAAGCCCCAATTTGACTTTTTTCGCCCCCTAAAATGTGCTCCGTTCATAAGACATTTTCCCGTTCATAAGATACCCATACCACCCGGGCTTTCCTTATAAGAAACATCACCACTTTTTAGGTCGGTCTATGATAAGACATAGGGGTCTTCTATCCTGGCGTTTATGGTATCAGGATTAGGGTCCCTTATATCGGTCCCTAAGCCTGCCATTTTGCAGCACCGCATATCAGATTGGTTTGGATTCGTCACCTAGGGCTGCCGTGTCGGCAGGGCTCGCGACACACAATGACCCCTATTTTGATTTTGCTGCAACCCCTGAGTGGTCACTGTTTTTTTTTTTTTTTTTTTTTTTTTTTTTTAACCCACACGCGTGCCCAAACTGGTTCTGGTTTGATAGGAAGGAGAAGTACACTGCGTGGATCGTCATGCAGCACAATGCGTGTGCCTCCAAACCATCGCAACCCCCCCTCCCCCCCCCTACCCCCCCTTCAATCCACACCAAACTGACTAGCATCTTGGGTCGTGGTTGAGGTTCGCTGTGACTCCACGTGGCACTCGTAGAGGGCCTGTTATTTTTTTGACAAATGTGCTTTTGTTTTGCGCCAATCAAACGAGATTTTGACGATCTGATGTGGCGCTTGGCACTTCATGATATGGTGTTTTATGTTGGATACAGATATTAGACTCGTTTTTGTATTGCCAAAATGGGAGAGACACGAAAGTCACATTGGAGTCACATGGGAGTCACACGGAAGTCACATGGGAGTCACATGGGAGTCACACAGGAGTCACATGGGAGTCACATGGAAGTTATACGAGAGTCACATGGAAGTTACATGGGTCACACAAGAGTCACATGGGAGTGACACCGGGAGTCACGTTGGAGTCACATGGGAGTCACATGGAAGTCACATGGGAGTCCCATGGGAGTACTATGGGGGTCCCATGAGGAAGCCTATGGAGGTTTTATACAGGAATTATGAGAGTGGTGCAAGAGTCTGTTGGGAGTTTCATGGGAGTCCTTTAGGAGTCTAACAAGGTGCATAGTTTTTGTCATTGAGAAATTAGCATAAGCCTTATGTTGGGCGTGGGTAAGTACGTAAAGGGGTCAACATCATAAGGGAATGCATGTGGAGTACATTCTCAGTTGAATTACGCATGGTTCCAGGCTGACGTGCATGGTGCCAGGTGAATTTCGTATCCACATGTGTTTGACACTATTTGCAACTAAGGTTCGCAAGTGAAAATGCGTGGGCACTCGCAGGTGAAATTTAGAGTGAATGTTGTGCAACTTTCACGTGTAACTCGCAGGTGAAATACATGGAGTTCGTAGGTGCCACTTGTGGAAGAGTGTGGCTGTTGTCACAAACGATTTTGTGTCGCAATATATGAGGTTTTGGACTGTGGGTCTAGCTAGTGAGTGGTGGGCTATTTGCTTTTGCATTTGGTGGGCTATTAGAATAAATATACTTGTGGGTTTCATTTGTAACATATCCTTTGATGAATGAGAATTCCTATCATCGAATTGACGTAAGGGAATTGTTTCACATGCACCAAATTGTCACCTATCCGTTGCGCTTATGCTAAACGAAGGCTCTAGTGGAAATGGATCAATGCTATACTTGACTTAATCTCATTAAACACCGACCCTCGGATAGGGTTGGTTTTAACCAGGCACCCAAGGACCATCGGAGGTGACCTTGTGGAGTAAGTTTTGTATGCTTGAATCCCTATTCCTATAGCATTATTAAGCTCATATTTCTAACAAGCATAGACTGCTGCACATGAAACCAGCGAAAGCGTCTCGGATGCGGCTAAAATTGAAAATCAGAATGGGTTCAAAATAGTGCTATCGAAAAAGGCCCTTAAAGCCAGCGGCTAAAATAGCAGACCTGGAAACCACTTGAATTTGGTGCTTTGAAATCCGTCCAAGTATAAAATGGAAGGCAGCTTTGAGTTCAAGCCTGAACAAGAAAGGTGCATTGAAACGAATTCTAGTCGAGCTTGCTGATTGGAGGAGTGGCGAAAGAACCCGTTCCGCTGTTTGTTGCGACACGATCATTTGGATGCGATTTGCGCAAAAACACTGTGTGTATCGCAACATGAAGCTTTTGGGGTTTCTACAATGGGTTTGGGCGAGAAGCTTGCGACGAGGAAATACAGGCGCGTTATGACCGGGGAATTCAAGTGATTTTTAGGTCTGCAATTCCAGAATCAGCTATTGTTCGCCAAAATTCACTGTTCTTCTCGCATTTTCACTGTTGACGGAACCACAAAATAGGGTCAAAATGATTACTTAAACTAGAACCCTTTGTCCGGAACAAAAGCCCAAGAGCTCTTTTTTTGAGGGGGTACTCGTGCCAGGAGATTTCGGTATTGTCACAGCAAGGGAGTATGGAGACATTACAGAAGCGTATTTTAGGAACATAACAAATGCTCCAAGAAATAAAATTCACCACACCCTAGTGACCCATAAAGCTCTGGCTCAATGTGATGATGCCTTTCATGGCTTCCTTTGGTGGTTATTCTTCCCCCACTCCCAGCTCCACTCCTTGTGTTACTAACAGAGACATGATGCCCTTTTGCTCCATGGAGGCATATGTGTTGATAAAAGGCCTCTTCTATATTGTGGTAGCGCGAGTGAGAAACAAGTCCTAGGCAGCTGCTTCCTACTCATCGTCGCGACTTCTAACACCCTTTGCTCTACTGTGCCATCCACCTTTGAATGCTGTCCATGGATGCGCTTAGTCCTAGTATAGTCTTCTTTGAGGATGTAAGCTCCTTATACCGTGCCATCCATTTCAGTTTGCCTTGGCCGTTCCAGCTTCGTCGGGTCCGCTTGACTCCATGCTGATGAGGGGATGGTGGACAGGCATCAGGACTCTTTATTGTGCTTCGAATACTGTGAGAGCAGAGTGCGTTTGTCCGTCCTAAGGGCACGTATAAAGTAGGGGTACGACAACTCTGACGGGCGTCACCTTTTTTGTACCAATGGGTGCTGCGTGTTTCAAAATGGTGCCCCTGTTCTACCGAACTGAAAATATGTGGCATCATACTATACCGTAAAGTGATGTCCCTTGATGTCGTTTTGTCCCTTCACTTTGCATCAAGAAAATGGGTTGGGTATAATCAAAATTTGACAACAGCACATAACAACGGAACGAGAAATAGAGCTCAGACTAGTGTTCCATCCAGGATGTGAATAAAAGGCATGCAAGAGTATTCATCAATGATGTTGGGGAACTAGAACCTTCCATAATATACTAGCATACATAGACTATGTAAATCATCGCTTGAAAACACATGAAAAACTCGATGTTCACTTGACACATAAACGTGTA